TCTCCTTGTACAAGGAAAGCTGCTGTACTACAGGGACTTCTGTCTGGGTTTTTGTTGCTCCACCCCCAGGACCCAGCACAAAGCCGAGTTCCTAGTAGCACTCAGTGGCTTTTTGCTGGATGCATGGATTGTGAAAACCAGCATCTGGAAGCACACATTTTGGTGCTCTGCCAGCTGTTGGTTGGATAAAACAAGTTCAGCAGATCAGCTTATGTCACCAACTTATTATACGAGTATCTCATCGATATCATAGCATATTTTACCCGGTAGATAAAAATTCCTGCTAATGGGCAGCAGAAGGGCTGGATGTGAATGCTTCTGAATCACGTGTAGAGTGCTGTGTGTGGTGGTGGTGGTGGTGGTGGTAGTGATGGTTGGACAGACTCTCAGTTTGCCCTGAAATGACAGAGGTTTTAGCAGCAGCTGGGTGTTGAGTGTTTAAAGAGATAGAAGCCCCTGGAGCCAGCCGAGGAGCAGCTCAGGTCTGCAGAGCTCCCCTGTAACTCCTAGTGCTCTGTCTCAGCCATATTTCTGGGCAGCTGTCTTCCACACATTTTTCTATGTAACACAAGCCAATTTGTATTGAATTATCTACAAATTCAGTGTCTAAGATCTTGGATCAAGTTTTTCTCCCAGCTACTTTTTTTTTTTAAAGAAAGTTGGCAGCAACCTGGATCACAATAAATGATCACTTAATATTACTGAGAGTCCACCTTCCTCCCTATCCCTCCATCCACTGGCACTTGGACTCAAGTTGGTCTGTGAACGTTTCTCTGTAAATGCCGAAGTGCATGACCCAAGGATGTGACCTGTCTTTTTAAAAAGGTTGGGGAGGTGCTGTTGGGGGAGGAGGCCAGGTGGACTCCTTTGGAGCCTACCCTGGGTCCTTTCCTCAGCAAGGCTCTTTCTGGGTTAGCTCTTGGGGAAGAACAGCCCCTGAGCATGCCACCCAGGCTTGTGCCTGTCTGACAGGAGAACCTCTGCTTTCGCCCTCCCTGGACTGGGCACAGTGTTCCCCTCATTTGACCATCGTCGGGGACTGCACACTGAGGAGGAGCTACCACAGGGGACACCAGTTTGCTGTTGAGCTTCCGTCTGGTTGCAGAGGTGGCTGATTTCATGACAGTGTGCCCAGAAAGACAGCACTGTGATTCATCCCAGGGCCATGCAGTCAGCATGGTGCTCTGACCACGTCCATCAGTCCTTCTCTTTGGGCCACCAGATGGACAATAGCCGGCTCTGCTGTGTTGTGGAATGCAGTGCTGGCAGTCCTGTCCTGGTCACTGAAATGGGCCTGGGCCTCATGACGTGTCTGGCCCTGCCTTCCAACCCAGACGCTGACCAGCCTGTGCCCCTCTCTCCTACAGATGCCGCCCTTATGAGGACTGCTGTGGTTCCAGGTGCTGTGTGCGGGCTCTCTCCATACAGAGGCTGTGGTATTTTTGGTAGGTCACAACTCTTGCTGGTCTCGGATGCCTTCCCCGCCTAGCCCTGGGCCTCTGCCCTGTCAGTAGGGTCACAGCCAGTTACAGCATCTGCACTTGAGGTCGGGGCCTGTAGTGGAGCCTCGAGGCAGAAAACAGGTATGTGTGGATTGGCTTCAGGATGAGCATTTCTGCTGCAGAGCCCGCAGAAGGCTCGTTCCTGTTTCCACAGGCATATGGCTGGGGAAGATGAGTTGTTCTTCTGGAAGGTGGGCTGGACAACAGCCTTATCCCTCACAGCTCCTCCACAAGTGTCTGAAGGGGAGCTGAGGCTGATTATCTTAAAGAATCAGAAAATCTACAAATCTTGGGATAGCTTCTGCTGGAAATTTTCCCCATTCAGCCCATGTCAGCTGGATCCTAACTTCCAAGACAGGCAGACTGTATCCTTGTCCATCTTCCAGCTCCACTGAGGGAGGCTGGAAGAGCTGCCTGAAGTCTGTGAACCTGTGCCTTGACTGCAAAGCCCATTAACAACAGGAGACTTCTGTGGATCGCTGGCCTCAGGGGACACCTGCTGGGGTATGTCTGAGGATCGATTTGACTCTGCAGTAAGAGATTGCTTCCCAGGTCAGGGTGGCAGAGCTCACGTGGGAAAGGATTTGCCTGAAACAGGGACCCCTGTCTCCTCTGCTCCCCTGAGAGTCATGCCACAAGGCAGACTCTGCAGTGTTAAGACTTGCTGCTTTCAAGACGTAAGGTTCATTGTAACTCTAAGCTTCTGGCATTACTGACTTCTAAAGACTGTAAGACCTTTACTGAGCGTATTACAGCAGCCACTTTTTGTTTTTCCCTCCTGCCAGCTGTCCCCCATGAGTGACTAGAGAAGGCTCCAGCAAGTGGGCAGTCCACGTGCCATGATGCCTTTGAGCCTCCATTCATACCCCCAGGACCACCTCCATGGTGGGGCACTGGCAATTTGGGGACTAGACTCACCTTCACACTAGGCCCCAACATGGCCTCCCCTGACATCCTCTGTCTCTGTGTCACCACTTCTGACAGCTTCCTGAACAGTGGCATGTGGATGCTGGCTTCTTCCCACCCTATAGTTGCTCGTGCTTAAAACTCTGTAACAGAAGGTGAATTTTTTGCTGCCTAAGATTTTCCAAGTGTGAACAGCTCTGTGTTTATTCAAGGTGGAGGGGATAGTACCACAGCCGGGGAGGGGAGCCCGAGGGGGTGGCCTTTCGGAGCTTTGCCTGGCTTCATGATGCCTTCACTTAGGTGTTTCCTCCATGGGCCTGGTGGTAGAAGCAGCAGGGCCTGCCCGGGGCAGGGATCCTGAGAGGGTTCAGAAGAATGTCAGGTTGGCCTGAAGCACCTGATGAATGTTGAGGTTGTGGAAATGCTCCTAAAAATTGAAAACAAGAAAACTTGTCAAAGTTCAGGTATTACATGATTATAAAGAAAAAACTGAGAGTGCAGGAGAACTGTGAGAGCCTGGCAGCCAGAGCAGCTTCTGCTAGCCTTCCCGGGAAGCTGTAGCTGAGCTGACAGCCAGGTGCTTCAAGCTGTTGGCCCGGTCACTTGTCATAGCCAGGGCCTGTCACAGAGATGGCACATGGGTTTGCGGGATCCTAGCACAGAGTTGTCCCATGAGTGCCATCAAATGAGAGCAGGTCTCGAAGGTCAGTGTGCCAGATGCCAGATTGGAGTCATTAGTTGAGGTTCTGACACCAGTTTCTAAATGAGGGTCACAGCCAAATACACCTTGGGATGTGAGTCTGCAGTGTCTGTCCAAGGTCAAAGGATGCTGGGTTCTGCTGTGCCCATTCCTTCTCAGTATATCGTGTCTGATTGTACCAGACACCAGGGAGAAGCCCTCATGGCGGTCAGGGTCCTAAAAGAGACAGATGTCTAATCACGTAATTACATGTGGAGAGTTTTAAAGCAGTGCTCTGCATACAGATCATGGCGGTCTGTTGCCAGAAAAGTTGGGAAAAGCTGCCAAGCTTCTGACCAGGTCTCAGCGAAGGTGGTCCTCACGAAGGGACCAACACATGGCAGGGCAGGGACGTGACAGGAATGGGCCTGGGGAGAGAGTGAAGGGGCACGTGTGCTTGGGCAGGTTCAGGGGAGAATCACTGGAGGGGAGGCTGGGGGTGGACGTGGATGGAAGGGCTGCCCTCCCACCTGGCTCCCACCTGGCTTTGAAGGACTTCTGTCTGCTTCCCATAAAACAAAGGTTTTGCAAGAGAATGCTTTCAGAACCCTGCCAGCTCCACAATCTCGAGTGATCTTAACCATGATGGTCTAAATGAAGTAATCAGAATTAGGAAGGGTAGACTTGTGGCATCTAGGCACAGCTGGCAGGCAGCACTGGGTGGGCCCCACTGCCGGGCTCCCACACGAGCTGGGCTGTAGCCTGGCGGGACTGCTACCTGGTACGGGCATGTGCAGGTGAGAACTGCTGGCCAGGTGCTCAGACGGTAGGAAGGGATCGAAAAAACAAATAGAATTGAAGAAACCAGATTACTTTTGATGCTAGAAAAGGCACACACTTCCTCTCTTAATCCCTGGAAAGGTCTCCACACCTGCTCAGCAATGAGAGCACACATCCAGAGAGCAATCGCCCTGTAGCTCATAGCATTTCAAGGAACTGCTTTTCTTACTATTCCCTCCTTCCCACAGCTGACCTCCCACTCCCTTTTGTCTCCTTATTCCTGTAAGCTCATTCCCCAGACCCCCTTGTCAGTTTCTCTTAAAATAAGTTTTCCTCAGACTAATACTTCAATAAGGCACGAATCTGATGATGATCAACACCTCAGCTGGGGGTTGGTCTCCTGCCACAAGGCCTTGTCTGTCCCTGCCTGGTACTTAATTTGCTTGCCTTCAGTCTGTGGGGTGAGGTGCAGTGTCTTTATTTGTCTAGGAAAAAAATACATTTTATTTCTTAATGTAATCAACATTTTGGCTTGCTTTGTGGAAGAGACCAAGATCTCAGATGGCTTCAGCAATTTCCAACCCAGGGAGCTGGTCTCTTGGGAGTGAGCAGTACTGTCATTTGAGAAGGTAACCCCATGTGCCTCTCTTTCCTTTGTATTTCCTCTCAGAGATTGACGGTTGGACCCCGTGTTGAATGTAATATTATCATTGAGTCTACCTGCAGGAAGTTAGTCCTAAGAGATGAAGCTGTCCCCTTTGTGATTTCAGCATCTCTGCTGAGATCATCTCACTCGGCCAGGCCCCTGCACGGCTTGGACTCCCCTGGCGCCAGGACTGCCCTGTGAGCCCCGCCCCGTTCTGCAGCCCGCAGCCCCGCTCGCCTCACGCTCCCAGCCTTCTGTGCGGGAGGACCTGTGCTGCTCTGCCCGCCCGGACCGCCCTCCCCTTTACTTCACCTTTCTTCCCCTCCTTCAGAGCTAAGCTCAGATGTTGCTTTTTGAAGGTAAAGAAGCCCTTCTGATCTTCTCACTGTGACAGATGCCCTTGTTAAAACCCCTTTTTGCACTGAATTGTACACATAAAAATGGTGAAACCGGTCAGTTATGTGTTGTGTATATTTTACTGCACACACATATAGACCCTCCTCTGTGTGCACCTTCACTTGAGTTCCTTAGCACTTCCCAGAGTTGTAAATCGATAGCCTTATAAACCCGTTGTCACTGTCCCCGGCCTCTGTTAGAATTCGAGTTCAGCTCAGCAGTCTCGCTCCCTGTGATGTACAGCGTGGTGCTGGGAGCGTACCAGGTGCTTAAACATTACCTGTTGAGTGAATAACGAATTAGAATGCAGATCAGAAGCCCACAATTTCATCCCTTTCCTGAATCGTTTCCTGTCTTGTGCTCTGATCTTTCTTTCTGCTCAAGTTCCAAGGTTGTCCAGTGAATACATGCTGACTGACCAATGGACATCACTTAAGTTACTCTCAAAGGCTTTGTCATCTATGCTTTTGTTAAATTCCATGTATGTTTTTGACAATGATGCAGCCAGCTGTGCTCATACATCTTTCACAAGGCTGTTTACAGCCCAGACACAGCATGGATATATGGAATGAGGTTCTGGAAGGTTCCGTGAGTCCTATCTTACTATCAGTTCAGAGTTGGGTAAGAGTTTCCCAGTTACATCTGTGTGGGAGAGAAAACTGGCCCTTCTCAGAATGACTCCTCCTATTTCTAGAAACACAGGGTCGAGTACAAATATGAGGTGGGAAAATGGCCTTCACTCGTTTGTTAGTCATTCTTGAATGCTAGCGATGTCAAGTCACTGAAATGCTTAGACGAGTTGGGCAGCTGCCTTATGGCGGTCAGCTCTACCGTCAGACTTTAGGGTCACGCTAGGAGAATGGTCAGCCGTACTTAGACCCTAGAGATTTTAATGCTGTAGCTTTTTTATTGATTGTGAGTATTTTCTCTGTTCTTAGAGTTGTTCATTAAGGTGTGCTATAGGGAAAGGCACTACTTAAAATGTCTTTATATGTAATAATGGGAAGAAAACTCCTGGGGTGGATAAATGTGCTAACTCTTGTTGCTTTCACAGGGAAGAATGAAAAATGGGGGAAATGGATAGTGTGGCAAGGGCTGGGTCAGCCATAGTGTTCAAACAGGATGGAGATGGCATCTTTGTTTGACTAAAATACTGAGTTGAGGTCAGAGCCATGGACAGGAAAGTAAATGCGTCAACTCACCGAAGCCGCCTAATCATGTGGAGCTATTTGAGACACAAAGCTCACTTCAGGAGCTTCTTGGTGGGAGTGGCCCCCATCCTGGGACACCCTAGAAGTCTGCAGGCCAAGCGTCTCCCTAATGGCATCCACCCAAGAACATCCTGGGGAAAATGTCCAGGGGAAGACCACCAGGAGCCAGGGTGAGCCCGCCCTCTGATCTGTGCACTCAGGATTCGGCACTTCTGGGTCCTGGGGCACTGCTGACTGCGTGCGCTTCGCCTCACCCTGTGCTCTTCTCAGGTTCCTCCTGATGATGGGTGTGCTCTTCTGCTGTGGAGCTGGCTTCTTCCTCCGGAGGCGCATGTATCCCCCACCGCTGATTGAGGAGTCTGCCTTCAACGTGTCCTACACCAGGCAGCCCCCAAACCCCACTTCAGGTCAGCCAATCCCTCCGTCCTTGTTTTTCCTCCCTGCAGTCTGAGTGTCTCTGTCAGCATTTGAAAAGCACTTGTAAGCACTGCCATGGAATATGCTAGAAAAAAAAATTCAGGCCATGTTCATTCATTTAAGTTCTGATGATCAACCTCCCTGTGCCTTTGCATTGTTAAAAATATGCAGTGTCTATTGGATTGTGTGTCTGTCACCTCATATCCTTACCTAATTATCGATGTACCTTTTATACATGGTTATGCAGTTTGTATATGCATATTGTTTGCTCTCTGTGTTTTTTTCCTTAAAAATTATTTCATGTGTAAATTTCCCTACTGAAACAGTAACATCCCTTCCATTCTTAATGCCTCCAGACCAAATATTAATTAACTGTGTTGCTATTTGTTGTGCATCTACTAGTATTCCAAATACCTATATACAGGGCAACTATAGACATTTTGCACCAAGTGACATTTTGGCCTCTTTATGGAACACTTCCCACAGTGATGCCCAGAGTCAAAAAGAGTTAGTAGTCTTATAAAATGCCGCCTCAACTATGTACAACTCGCCTGTACTGTAGTGGGTGAATTCCAGCCTCCCTTAGGACACAGACTAGTTGGTATTCGGACATTATTTGTGAGGTGTTTCCCTTCCCTCATGGCATGGTGTGGTGGAGCCAGGCAGTTGGAATTGCTCCCGTGCACTGTGCACACCGCTCTGCTCCCTGTCACACTTTATGTCTGAGGAATGGGAGGAGGGGCTCTCTCCATTCCTTGCCCACCAAGGGTAAATGCACAAAAGCATTTCCTGCCTTGGTTTTTACAGAGCTTCAGTTACACAAGAAGAATAAGTCCCAGAGATATGCTACATAGAATAGGACTTACAGCTAATAATATTGTATTGTGCTAAGAGGATTGATCTTATGTCCAGTGTTCCTATCACAATAATTAAAATAATAATAATAATAATAATAAATTTGGCAGGCAGGAGGAAACTTAGAGTTGATGGATAGGTTTATGGCATTTATTGTCATGGTGTACATTTATCTCCAAACTCATCAAGTTGTATACATCAAATATGATCAGCTTTTTGTAAGTTAGTCATACCTCAAAACAGTGGTTTCCAACAGAAAAAGAGAAGAGTAGGGATTGGGTGTAAGAAGACATGGCTTGCTTCTGTTCTCCTGAGGTGTGCTGTGCTCAAGGTACAGAGACAGTCTCTTATTGATTTACTCTTAGCTTTCTTCCACCAGATGCTTCTCAGTGTTTTCTTTTAAAAAGAATCCTCTTTATTATTTTTTTAAAACATTACTCAAATATCTGAACATGTATTTTCCACAACAATTCAGAGATTGCTCTACCTTAAACTTTCACTTAAGGTTAGTGCCCCTTTTCATATGTAAGTGGATTTTTATTCTTTTGTATTTGGAAATACTTGAATAGTTTGAAATTGTGCTGTAGCATAGGGTAAAGGGCAGTTATGATGGGAGACCAAAACTAGTTTTCATCTGGATTAGTCTGAGTTCTCAGTCCTTGATTTTTTTCAAGGAGACAGTAGATCAGAGAAATGGGTCAAAGACTTCAGAATTAATTCTTCCTTTCTGTCTCCAGTATGTGGATTTGTGACACAGATGCTACATGTCCTCGGTCTGCAGCACAGACCAGGTGTCAGCTGTGTTGTCCTTGCTGGGCCAAGTGGAAGTGGGAGCAGGTGATGCTTCCCATTGCTTGCCCACAGCTCCCCTGGGGCGTCCATGGCCTCAGCATTTCCAAATGGGAGGTTGGTGCATCCTGTGTGCCCTCAATGCCCACCCTCATTTCCTTCCTGCATCTCAGTGTACCTTGTCTGCAGCTGGAATCCTCGGTCCCTGTATCAACCACACAAATAAACAGGAGTCAGATCCAACCACATCTAACTTCAGACTCTAATCCCTGGTGATTGCCTGCTACAAGTTCCCTGAGAGTGGTGTCTTCCAGCTCTTCTCTGCCTTACACATGGCCACCAGAAGATTCTTTAAGGAGGAAGGCAGGTGCATAGGTCATGTCATTCTTGTGATTAAGGCTCAGGTTGTTCCAGCAAGCCCAGACTCCTTAGCCAAGTGCCCAGGACCCTTCACCTTCCCTGTCCCTCCTGCTCTCTCAAGTCCTGCCATCTCTCTGGACCCCTGTGCATCTCCTTCTTCTACCTGGAAAATGCCTCCATAGTGAGATTGTCCAGGCCATTTCCCTCCCTGCTCTTCCTGTCCTGGTTGCTCTACCAGGTGCTTTCACAGCATGTATTGTGGTGTTTTAATCCTTTGTGTATACTCTGGGACCCCAGCTGGCCAAGTGCCTCTGCAGGACTCACATCTCAGCCACCAAGCTGACTCATGTCTGAGTGAATGGGATTGAGATTTACTGGGGCCATACTTGGAGCCTGGAGCCCAGGTTTTCGAGTCACTCACTCAGCCCATACCATGTACTTACTAAGGTGCTGCAGAGACATGGGTGCTGGGGTACAGCCTGGGTTCCAGCCCTTGTTCACCCCCTCATGCATTGCATGGTTTGCACAACCACGTGTGGGAGCCCTGTGCAACTGTACAAATAGCTATAGCCACTGACTGAGTTGAGGGCTATGGAGAAAACGTCCTGGATACTGGGAAGCCATATAAGCAGGAAACTTGATCTTGGGCCAGATGGAGGGCCTGAAGAGTATGTGAGAATATGTCATGGGAGCTAGTTGGGGAGGGGTGCGATGCTGAGAAGTGGCCAGTGAGGTGCTTGCATCTGCCTTTCCCACAGCCTTGAACATGCCTACCCACTGCAGAGCTGCAAACAGGTCTTCAGCCCCAGCGGCCATGGTACCACCTGCAGGATGCTTTTGATGGTGGGATAAATGTAGGGATCTAGGGCAGGAGAGACACCAACTAAAATATTGAGTCTGTCTGCAAACAGTGGAGGAAGAGCACAGGTGAATGGAGGGCCAAGCACAGCATCTTGAATGTCTTGGGGAAAGTGTGGTTTGAGCCTATTCCATTCTGCGATTGAGGGTATTCAGGAAGCAGGGCCTTTTATTTTCTTCCTAGACATCCCATGATGCAGTAACCACTGGGTCCTGGGGAGAGAGCCCATTCATGACCTGTTGGGAGGTGTTGCTTTGGGTGCCCCCACCTCTCCACACCTCCATCCCTGTTGTGTACTTCTTACAGGCCTATCATGGTTGGAAATAGTCAGTCCCTAAATATACCACAATATCATATGAAAACGAGGCTTGCTGTGTTCCCTGGGAGTATACAGTCTCCGTAACTTCACTGCAAAATCAAGGGTTCATCATTTGCTAACAACACAAAGGTTGGGAAGAATTTAAATGCTTTTGTTCGATTATTTAGAAGTAGTAACATTGAAAAAAGTAGGGTCCCTTGGTTTCTAAATGATTTGGGTCTAGACCCCATCTCACCCTAGGGTGGGGTTCATCCCCTGTGCAGCTGTTTGCTGAGAACCTGTAAGGCTTATGGCCCCGTGCCTGTGGGAGTGAGTGTGCAGTGTAAGAGGGCCACATGGGGCTTGGCAGTCTTGCAGAGAAACTGAGTGCACTGACAGTACATGGCAGGCCCACAGGATAAAAATCGGGCCCAGAAGAGGCCTGGTCAGTGCTAAGGAAGACAGTTCTGCCTGAAGCATGGGGCAGGGCCTGTGGACTTGCTGGGGTGGCTCCATTTTCCTTCCACCACTGGTCTGGGTAGGGGAAGTGGATGTTGTTGAGCTTTGCTTCTTTATGAAGAAAAGGCAGAAGGTTTTAGAGAACCAGTGCTCATGTACTGGAGGGCAGGTGGCCAGGATTGGGTGGCAGCTACTACCCTGCTGTGCTAGGGGGCATGCAGCAGTGTTGAGCGGGGACCAGCCTCACAGTCCAGCATGGCTGAGTGTAGAAAAGCAGAGGCCTGCACGTTACAAAGATGATTCTACCAGGCAGGGTCTGGGGAAGCATGTGGCAGCATTGTTTCTAAGGGTTAGATGTGGGTCAGACCTAACAAGCTAGGTCCTGGGGCTAAGGTTCAGAGGTGGGACTCCAAGTCTGCCAAGAACCAGAAAAACAAAGACTGAAGTTGCTTGTCGAAGGTCTCAGAGCCTTCGATCCAGCTCATCTGGGCCTTGCACTGGGGTGCAGGAGCTATGGAGAAGCTGTAGTTCTGGAACAGAGAGGCACCAGCACGGGGCTCAGGAAGCCTGAGGTCTGTGAGAACAATGAGCCACTGTCCCTGCTAGGCTCAGCACAGTCTCTCCAAAATGACATTCTGTGAGGAAAAGTGCTGCTTGTTCACTCAGTCATATCCAGAAGCTGCCCGCATGAGACTGAGGAAGAGTGGGAGCAGGTGATGCTTCCCATTGCTTGCCCACAGCTCCCCTGGGGCGTCCATGGCCTCAGCATTTCCAAATGGGAGGTTGGTGCATCCTGTGTGCCCTCAATGCCCACCCTCATTTCCTTCCTGCATCTCAGTGTACCTTGTCTGCAGCTGGAATCCTCGGTCCCTGTATCAACCACACAAATAAACAGGAGTCAGATCCAACCACATCTAACTTCAGACTCTAATCCCTGGTGATTGCCTGCTACAAGTTCCCTGAGAGTGGTGTCTTCCAGCTCTTCTCTGCCTTACACATGGCCACCAGAAGATTCTTTAAGGAGGAAGGCAGGTGCATAGGTCATGTCATTCTTGTGATTAAGGCTCAGGTTGTTCCAGCAAGCCCAGACTCCTTAGCCAAGTGCCCAGGACCCTTCACCTTCCCTGTCCCTCCTGCTCTCTCAAGTCCTGCCATCTCTCTGGACCCCTGTGCATCTCCTTCTTCTACCTGGAAAATGCCTCCATAGTGAGATTGTCCAGGCCATTTCCCTCCCTGCTCTTCCTGTCCTGGTTGCTCTACCAGGTGCTTTCACAGCATGTATTGTGGTGTTTTAATCCTTTGTGTATACTCTGGGACCCCAGCTGGCCAAGTGCCTCTGCAGGACTCACATCTCAGCCACCAAGCTGACT